ATGTGCCTAGGCTGGTTTGGATGTGTATGTGCCTGAGCTGGTAGTGTGTGTGTGTATGCACCTAATTGATTTGTGTGTTTGTATATGTGCAATTGTGTCACACCCTCCTGTCTAAGTGCAATATTGAGATCCTGAGAGATGGCCTGACCCCACAGGGCTACAATACCACTGCCCTGCCCTGCCCAGCCCAGCCCAGTCAGCCTGTGGGCACTGCCTTGAGTTGGAACAAGAGACATGGTGCTGGTGATGCTGCCTCTTTCCTCAGCTGCCTCCTCCATCCTCACTTGTTTGATGCTCTGGTGGGCTCTTATTGGCTAGAAAATAAGAACAAGCCTGTGATTTTCCATCCAGGGTGCACAGGCCTGTTCACCCAGCAGAACCAGAACCTCTGGGGATCCTCATGGGCCAGACAGGGCTGTAGGCTGCACCAACCTGCTAGGGGATGGAAGGAGTCAGGCACTGGGCTGAAGCCTGCTCCTTGGCACATGGGGTTAATGGCTGTGAGAAGGGATTGGAGATACGGGACTCAGCCTGGGGCTGAGAGCAACCCCTGTCACATGTCACCACATGCGACTCCGGGCCATGATGGGAGCCCATGCTCCCCATGGCCCTTTGGACTCAGAGTGCCGGTGCCTTTCCCTGTCCTGGATGACCAGAGGGGATGTCCTCAAACCAGTAATCATCCCTTGCACCTGAAAACCAGTGGCAGGAAGCTCAACCCAAGGGGACATCTGCTCAGACAGGGCAACACACCTGGGCAGAGCACCACAGCCCCTGCATGCCACCATCCTGGCCCTGGCCTGCATTTCCTGGCCTGCAAACTCCTACCTTTGAGCTGCAGCTCCCTGCTGGACTTTGGCTTTTTCAGGGCCTCGTGCTCCACATGACATTGGTAATCAGTCACACCATCCTCGGGCCCCACCGTGGGGAGGCTCAGCTCAGAGTCTACACTGTAGGACTTCCTGTCCGGCACACGGCTGGGGGTGTGGGTCCTGTGTTGTGGTGGGGGTGAGCTCTCCAGTGGCCTGGGCTCCTTCCTTCTTTCTCTCTTTTGCAGCCAGGTCATTGCTAGCTGCCTGGGGTACAACTGTGATAGAAGGCCCTTCAGGGACATTGGCTCTCCAGAGACTGGGGCCTGTGGATGGAAGACCTCCCCCAGGTCTGGAGGGGGTGGATGGCAACCTGCAACAGGTGGAAACGGCATGTCAGCAAGCCTCCCCTGTCTCCAAGTGCTTGGCACATGCTCACCTGCTGCCCTGGCCAGTCTTAGCCCAGCTCCTGGCAGCATCTATTGTGGGCTCCCATCACCCAGCTAGTATGGCCCCGGGCACCAACTGTTGCAGACAGCCTCTGGGAGGGCCTGTTGTAAGTGGTCACACAGTGCCATGGGGTCACAGACCCTCTGGGCTGGGCTGGGTGACAGGTGGTTCTGCTCCCCTATGGACCACCAAGACATCACACCTACCAGTGCAGCCCAGGATGCCATCAGCCTTCTTGCCATCAAGGGCACACTGCTGGCTCATATTCGTCTTCTTGTCCCATCACCCCCAGGTCCTTTTCTGCAGAGCTGCTGCCCAGCCCGTCACCCCCAGCCTGCACCGGTGCAGGGGATTGCTCCATCCTAAGTGCAGGACTTTGAACTTGTTCTTGTTGACCCTCATGAGATTTCTTTTGGCCCAAACCTCCAACTTGTCTAAGTCACTGTGAATCCTAGCTCTACCCTCCAGTGTATCTACTCCAGTGTATCCTAGCCCCACCCTCCAGTATATCTACTCTCCAGACAGGAGATGGCTTGGAGCTGGGGAAGACAGTCTGGGCTCAGGAGAGTCCCCTGACACATCACTGCTAGGAACTCTGGGCCTTGACAGAACACCTTGTTCCCCACAGTCCCTGGGACTGAGACCACTTGTTGCCTCCCCCTGTCTGCCCAGGGTGTGTGGGTGGGTGTTCCCAAATGGCCCAGAAATAGTTGCTGTGGAGGAGAACCAGTGGCTGCAAGCTCAGCCTGAGGGGGCATCTGCAAACAACTACAGGAGGGAGCAGCATGTCAGCATGCAGACCTTGTACCCTCACACCCAACGCATGCTCGCCCACTGCCCTGGCCAGCCTGAGCCCAGCAATGCAAAAGCCTCTACCATGGGCTCCCCTCAACCACACAGTTCAGCCCTGGCACCTCCTGTTGCAGACACCCTTCGGGATGTCCTATTGCGAGGTGTCAGGCAGTGCCATGGGGTCACAGTCCCTGTGGGCTCAGTCAGGTGACAGGCAGGTCTGCTCCCCTATGGACCCACCACAACCAGAACCAAAGTGGGGCCTGTGAAAAGGCTCCTTGGCCCAGATCAGCTGCTGGGCCTGTCCCGTCCCCCACCGCTTACCACTGCTCCTCTCGATGGGGGTCTCCAGGGTGAGGTGTTCAACATGGCAGATGTACTCTGACCCCTGGTCCCTGGATGTCCAGCGGGTGAGTCTGGTCTCCTGCTGGAAGCTCTTCCCGTCCCGTGCCAGGACGGCCGTGCCGGGCTCCACCCTGCACTCAGCTGAGTCGCGCAGGATCACAGCAGTGTCCTCCCCCTTGCCCCTCCGCAGCCAAGTCACGCTCAGCTCCCCCGGGAAATGCCCCGCAATGCGGCAGCTTAGGGTGACTCCCTTCCCCGTGGCCATGGACTTGGGCTGGGAGATTTCGGACACATCCGGGGGCCGCAGGAGACCTGGGGAAGGGAAGAGGCAGAGGCAGGGACAGGCCCCGTCAGGGGACCCACAGCCTGGCAGGGGCTGCTCCCCGGCCCCTCACACACCACACAGACCCCACACCCCTGCAGCGGGGCTGGGACCCCAGGACACGGCCCCTCCTCACCCGCGGCCCTCAGGCTGGTGTGACCCGCTGCCCCAAGCCCCAAGCACCCTCGCACTCGCAGCTCCGGCCGGGTCAGGCTCCGGCTGGGCACTCTCCAGACGCTCGTCGCGGTGAACGTGCCGTCCGCGTTCCTGTCTATCTGCGCGGGGTCTTCCCTCCAGCTCCCGGCCCCGTCCCAGCCCCACTGGATCGGGGGCACCTCCCTGGGGTAGAAGTTGTGGAGCTGGACAGCAAACGGCACCTTGTCGCGGGGGTCCCACTCTGGCAACACCTGGATCTCAGACACCTGCGGCCGGGCTGGGGAGACAGTGTGGGGTGTTAGTGCAAAGGACTACCAGTATCCTGTTTGGGGCGAAAGGATGGTTGGGCCCTTCTGGGAGTTGGATGGGGTTGGGGCAATGCAGTGAGGGCTTTGTGAGACCTGTCCCACCACTGCAGCACTGGTAGGAGCTGGCGCATCCTCCACCCCATTCCTCTATGCAGCAGGCACTGCCCCCTCTGGATATGGGCTTAGGGGTGGAGGACACTCACCCCACACCTGGATCTCTGGAGAAACTCGCTCCTCTCTGATACATTCAATCTCATGGAGGAAGCAGCACCGGACCCGCACCCCGTCATCCTGCACTGTGGGGGTGAAGGTCAGGGAGGACGTGAGGCAGGTCCCAGCTCTCTGCATTGTCACTCTCCAGCCCGGGGGGAGGGCGGGGAGCAGCGGCTGGTGCTCGGGGCTCTCTTGGTTCCTAGCGCTCTCAGGCACTGTCCTGTCCTCGCTGCAGATTCTCTCCCATGTCACGGCCACATCCTCGGGGAACGTCCCCTGCATGGAGCAGTGCAGGATCACCTCCTGGCCCAGCAGGCACCGCTCTGGCACCTGCACCTCGGAGAAGGAATAAGGGACTGCCCAGCCTGGGTCAGAGTAATGAACATAAAGGACATGAGTCAGCCTGGGATTGATGGGAGATGCTTCCAATCTGAGCCCAGAGTCGCATCCCTGAGATTGAAGACTGCCTGGGCAGCAGGAGTGTTGGTCTGGGAAAGACCACTCCACCCCTGGGTATCAGTTGCCCTCAACCCTCCCTGGCCCATCCCTCCCTTGTTGAGTCTGCATCCCAACAGCATCTTCCCACTCTACCTTTGCTCCTATTTGTACAGCAGGAAAGGATTGTAGCGACTGCGGCTACCATTACAACCAGGATCCCCAGGATGGGTTCGATCAGGGTACTGATTTCATCCACCTCTGTGGTGTGTACTGAAAAGAGAAATCCAGGCAGAGCTTAGCTGTAGCATGTGACCTGGCATCCTCTCTGCCCCAGATGCTGCCCTCGCAGTTAGGGGTGAGGGGTTGCTCTGGGATGCCGGGGATCCTTGAGCCTGGCCATGCACTGGGAGTACAGCAGCCTGGATGCAGCAGCCCAGGAGGCCCCTCAAGGCCTGTGTCCCTCTGCTCCTTGGTGCTCCAGCTCCTCTGGGAGGGAAGGAGTGTTCCCGCTGCTTAATGCGGCCCCACACCATGCTGCTCTGCAGCTCACACAGCTTACAGTCTGACCTGGAGCAGCTCTGTGACACCGCGGGGAGGGGCAAGGGAACAGGCTCTGTGCCCAGAGTTAGGGCAGCAGGCAGGACCTGATATGCGCGCTCACCTAGAATGACCAAGGAAACATCCTCCTGTAGCGACTGCTCCAGAGCCGCATGGTGGACACAGCAGGAAAACACGCGTCCAGCATCACCACGGGCAGGGGTGAAGGTGTAGGTCAAGGTGAGGCTGAACGTCCCATCCAGGTTCTTCTGGGGGCTGGAGCGGGTGGAGCCCTTCAGGACCTGCCCGTCTCTCAGCCACGCCACGTCCACGTCACTGGGGAAGAACCCTGCCACGTGGCACAGGAGGGAGGTCTCCACATCAACCGTGACTGGTTGTCTCGGGATGGAAATCTTTGGGGCAGCTGGAAGTAAAGAGTCAGTGCGCTGTGCAGCACCTAGGGTGGGCCATGTGCAAGTGCCCTCACTAGGTTGGACTCTTACTGCACCCCTGTACCAGGTGTACCAGGCTTTCCCACCACCAAGCTGCACATCCAGGGTAGGTCAGACAAGGGGATGTGGATATCACTCGAGGCCAGAGAGCTTTCTGTTCCCTACAGGAGTTTCTGGAGAGGTGCTGGGGGCTGAGGAGGGCAGTGCCCAGCTGAGATGCAGCCTGGCCCCACAGCACGACAGCTAGTGACTCTCACTGAGACTAATAAAGCTGTGATGTCCAGTGCATGAAAAGGGGCTTGAACTTCCCTGGTTCCCTGGCTGCAGAGACCCAGCACAGTTTGGGTTTAAGGCAGGGAGAGCTGTGAGGATGGTGCTGACCAAGCTGGATTGTAGCCGGCAGTGCCAGGGGCACTCTGGGGGCTCCGCATGGGCAGTCTGCATTGTAAGTGATGCTTGTCAATAGCTCCTAAATAGCACATCTCCATGCACTTCTCACCAGGGCAGAGGGCAGTGTGGGCACGGGCACAGGGCATGGAGACTGCCTCTCCTGGGTTTAGGATTCATCGTAAGGGCGGGTGTTGTCCCCAGGTGAAGATAAGAGTTTGGAACTGCTTTGTTGAAAGTGGGGCTGACTGGACGTGAGGAGAAAGAGGGAGGCTCTGAGACAGTCCTGGTTTGTGTCGGCTACCTGCGAGGACCATAGGTGACCTGAAAAATGGATCGGGTTCAGGTCAGAAAAAATATTTTCAGGTTAGGCTCAGGCCAGATGCTGGGGATGCTCTGGGGTGCTGGGGATCCCTGCAGTCAGCCATGCACCGGGAATGCAGAGGCCTGGATGCAGCAGCCTGGAAATCCCCTCCAGGCCTGCATCCCTCTGCTCCTTGGTGCTCCAGCTGTACTGGGAGGGAAGGAGCATTCCCCCATTCCCCCTGGCTAATGCAGCCCCCGACCATGCTGGTCTGCAGCTCAGAGCCGCCTACATGCTGGCTTGGAACAGCTCTGTGCTGCCTTGGGCGAGGGGGCAAGGGAACTGCTCCCATGTCCAGAATCAGGCAGGACCCGGCACGGGCTCTCACCTACAATGTCCAGGCGGACGTCCTCCTTCAGCGACTGCCCCAGAGCCTCATGGCGGACGCGGCAGGAGAAGACGCTGCTGATATCACTGATGATGGGGGTGAAGGCGTAGGTCAGGGTGAGGCTGAAAATCCCATCCAGGTTCTTCTGGGGGCTGGAGCGGGTGGAGCCCTCCAGGACCCGCCCGTCTCTCAGCCACGCCACGTCCACATCCACGGGGAAGAACCCCTCCACGTGGCACAGGAGGGAGGTCTTGGCATTGGCCGCAGCTGGCTGTCTTGGGATGGAGACTCTTGGGCCAACTGGAAGGAAAGAGTCACTGTACCATGTGTGACCCAGAGTGGGGCATGTGTCATTCCACCTGCTAGTTGGGTTGGCACTGAACCACTGAGACCACGTGGGCCCCGGGCCCTGCGTCAGTCCCATTGCTCCATTGACAGACCACCCCCGCGCCCCGGCAGGTGTCACTGCACCTCTGTTGGTCTGGGGATCTTGGGTGGTCAGAGGGGAGAGGACAGCACTGCACACATGTCTGACAGTGTGAGACCCTGCATCCCCCAGCTGGCACTCAACATGCATCATTCACATGCCCACTGCATGAGGCTTGCCACTGCTCCAGGGGCAATACCGAAGGTCCTGCCCATTGGCCGGCCCAGACAGGAGCATGGCAAGAATATCGCTGGTGTCTGAAATGTGTTGTTCACTAACCACATCACTCTGCTCTGGTGGAGGTGTGTTGTGTGTGCCACCTCTGAGCACATCCAGCCCCAGTATGGCCACTGTCATGGCCATCCTAGTTGCCGCAGCCGGATGCTCACCGAGCAGGTGCAGGGTGGTCTCCCCCCGGTGTTGATGTTCCCTGTGCCACACAACACACTTGTACATGCCCTTGTCCCATGGAGTCACCGTGGCCAGCGACAGGGAGGCATCTCCGCTTTGCAGCTCCTTCTCCGACGGCAGACTGGCTCCAGGCTGGACCTGGCTCCTGCCCTGGTCGTACCAGGCCACCTTCTTCTCCCCTAAATACCACTGCACCCGCAGAGAGCGCAGGGCCACTGGACTCCCAACTGTGAACCGGCACTGCAGCTGGGCCCCCGAACCCAGACGGGCCCAGGAGGAGGGCGCAGTGGTCACCTGAAGCTTGGGACCTGCACAGGGGAGAGGAAGCAGCCGTGAGACCCCGTGGGGCTGGGCCAGACAGCAAGAAACATGAACCAAGACTGGCCCAGCTGCTGCAGGGACCTGGTGCTGTGCGGCAGACCCTGGCCTGGGGGCAGGCGGCTGCTGCGCCCTGAGAACGACTTGATTTCACATGAACACGCTGAGCTGCGTCTGTGATGTCATCCCGTGGTGCAGCTGCTCCAGACCCCGCACGCACCTCCCGCACAGGGACCCCGTTCTCTCCCCACAGCCAGGACAGTGCTTGGGGCATTTCTGCCAATGCCCTTCCTCTGCTTCAGGCCCATATGATTGGCCAGGCTGCCCCGTCTTGGGCTGCACACCATGGCCCTGCCCCCAAACCCACCCCAAGACAGCAGCAAGGCTGCACTTACCCTCTGGTGCAAAGAAGGAAGATAGGAGAACGACTACGGGAAGGAGGAAAGGCCCCAGATTCTCATCCCAGACCCCCATCTGTGCTCATAGAGTCCTTGTTGCATGAGCATAACATTGATTTCCAGGAATTGCTGTCTGAGTTTCACTTTCACATGGGATGCAGCCAGGGCCCAGGTTGGAATAATTAGGAAAAGGCTCCATCCTGTGTCAGGAAATTTTAATGCACCGGGAACTGAGCAAGGACCAGCCCTGGCCCCTCTGCACTGCCCAGTGGTTTTGAGGAGCGGGGAGGTGGGAGGGGAGGGGGAGTGTCAGTCCGGGGCCTCCCTTGTCCTAGTAGCAGGAGTCCGGGGCAGGCTTGGGACTGAGGGGCTCTGGGGATCCCGGCCCCTCCAGCTCCCTGCCCAGGGTCTGCTCCCAGGGCCCCAGTGCTCCCCACGTCCCAGACTCGCAGCCCCTGGGCAGGGAAAGGTGCACAGCAGGAGGGGCCGTGCGCATTTTGGGGTCCAGTCCCTCAGCTCCTCCAGGTCTTAGTGCCCCAGGACCCCTGGCTGCAGGGGAAGGGAGACCTCCCCCGGACCCTGTCCAGGCCTTTCCCGCTCCCTCACCCGTCTCTGTATGGGGTAGGTACCCCCAGCACTTTAGGCCTGGACTGAATGACACTTGCCCAAAGAGGCTCGGGGACACAGCAAGTGCCAGCTGGTGGTGGTAACTAGCTCCCACAGGTGGCCGTGGCAGTGGATGAGCAGGTGGGGAACGGTGGTGAGTGCCTTGAATAGCAGCGGTGCCCTCCCTGGGCCCGGCATCAGCATTGAAATCCCAAACAAGCCCCACTTTGCTCCACGTGGTCTGAGCCGGGCTGCTGTCTTGCAGCTGGTCTTTCCACAGACCTGCAGTCTGGCCCGCAGCAGTGCCCAGGCGCCTCAGGAAAGGGCTGCACCAGCTGGAGCCTGCCAGGATGAGGGATGGCATGTAGGATGCCTGCCAAAAGATGTGTGAAATATCTGCAGCCCCTGGTGGGGGTGGAGGAAGTTTGCCAGTTGGAGGGGCAATTATGGGTCTGGACTGACTCATGGATTTGATTTGATTTGATTTGGCCTGGAACACTACATATTTAAAAAAAATAAATTCTGCCTCCAAAGATAAGAAGCACAAATTTGCCCAATCGCCCCCCGCCTCACAACCCCAGGCCTGGTCTGGTCCCTGCAGGCAGCGTGGGGCTGCGGGAACTTGACAGTGACCATCCCCCCTGCGGGAGAGGAGCAAATAGGGCTCGTCCAGGATTGGGACGCAGGACCTTTTGCACACTAAAGGTGCAACTGGGAGTATAGGGCACAGAGCAGCTGCTGGTCTAGCACTGCCTGGCTGGGCCTAGGGCTGTGGGGGTGGGAGCAGAGCAGGTGGCTTGGGGAAGGGGGGTCTGGGACACCCTTGGGATACAGCGAGTGGGGACCTGCCATTCACCGAGTCTCAGACACCTGGCAGGGGCTGTGGGCAGCTCATTGGTCTAGGGCCTTGATCCCCACTTACTTTGCAGCAGTCCTATGTTCAAATCCTGGATGAGCCTGTTGCATATTCCCCTCCCAGCACAGGATGCACCCTCCAGCCCATGCACAAGCCCCCACAGCTTCCTTCTAGAAGCCCCTCAGCCCAGTGGCTTCTGGCCTGCAGACCGCATGGACTGTGTGCGTCTGTCAATCCTGCATTCCCCACGTCCCTGTCTTCCCCAGGGAAGCTCTGCTGGTCTGACTGGTACAAAGGCCCCAAGCCTGGGGGCCATCCTAAGTGGGAAGTTGTCTAACCTGCACCGTGAGGGACCATGGGGGCTGGAGAACCTGGCTGGTGGCAGAGAGTAGGGTGTTCACCCTGAGCAAAGGGGGCCCTCAAGTTTCCAGTCTGGCCCGGGGGGGGCTGCAATCTCCTGCCCCTCCATGTTGCTGTGGGTGAGGCAGAAAGGCCAATGCTGTGTAATGTGCGTGTTGTGTAATGTCTTGTGTGACTTGGAGGTGTGATACAAGTGTGTAACAGAAGGGAGCCGCCCCATGGGGTCCTGCAGACACTGAGTCTGGCAGCAGGTCCTGGAGCCCCAGGGAGCAGGAAAAGGACGTGGTCCCACATGAGTGGGGAGAGGAGGTGGTCCTGGCCTGGCGGAGCACCAGCCCAAGGCACTGCTCACCTGGAGCCTCCCAGGGCCAGGCCGGGCAGCTCTGGAGATGGGGATGTGCATACTCTACATGTGCTGAATGTGCGTACTCCAGTAGTACTGACCTGTTACTACCTGTTACTTTTACTTACCCTTTAAGTGTATGTTGTTATACCAGGAATGTCTATTTACCTGTCCCCTTTGGCCCACTGGCCTGTGACCTCAATCCCTGGGACTTTCTACATTAAGTGAGAAAATGGTTTGGTCTGTTGTGTTCATACCAGGCAATGCAGGGGTTTTGGTCCAGCTGTTCCTGGGGCAGCACAGGGAGGAGGGAAGGAGCCAGCCTGAGCCATTAACTGGGGGCCAGGGAGAAGATGCTTCAGGGCCCCATGAGCTGCTCTGTATAGAAACTCCACCCTGTACTCCTCTGTGTCCCGCAGGATCTCAGCAATGAACTTCCCCAGCCCCACCGCAGCTAGATCACACACAGCTGCCCTGGGAAATGCCCCATGATGCAGCAGCTCAGCATGGATCCCTTTGCAGTCCAGGAAATTTCCAACAACTCCAGGGGCCGCAGGAGACCTGGGGAAGGGAACGGGCAGAGGCAGGGACAGGCCCCGTCAGGGGAGCTGCGGCCTGGCAGGGGCTGCTCCCCGGGCCCTCACACACCACACAGACCCAACACCCCTGCAGCGGGGCTGGGACCCCAGGACACGGCCCCTCCTCACCCGCGGCCCTCAGGCTGAGCTCTCTCTCGCTCGGGGGCTCTCCGGGGCCGTGCTGGATGCACACTCGCACTCGCAGCTCCGGCCGGGTCAGGCTCCGGCTGGGCACTCTCTAGTCTATAGTAGAGTTGGGGAAGCCCAGAGGCGGAATTACTCATTTGCTGCTTTGCCTACAGCTGCCAGGAATCATGCTGCCTCGCCAGTGCCAGGACGAGTGCCAGAGGTGTCTGGAGCTAGGCAACAAGCCCTGTGGTGTCATGCACAAAAACACCATGAGGAGCAGCCAGGGGAATAAGGGGGCCAGATCCCCCACTTACTATTTCTACAGTGCAGAGGGGCATGAAAGAAGGACCCTAGTGATGCTGGGATGAGCAGCGGGAGCGCTACAGGAGGTGGTGTGGCTAGCACGGTCTTGGTCTGGGACCCTAGAGGTTCTCCCAGGGAAACTGGGTCCTCTGGAGAAAGAGGCCCTGGCCAGGGCCATAGGAAGGGCATCCCATGTGGTTTAGGGTTATGGGAGAGGAAACTCCTGACCCTGATTTACTGCAGATGATTTGTCTTAACACAGGAGATGTGAGCTACAGCAAGAGAATGGAAACCAGGCCTGATTGGATGGGAGACTTTAGAAGAACCCCTACAAGGACAGTGGAAGGGGTAAAGAGAGGGAGACCATATGCCGGAGAGAGATGGGTGCAATAGGTGAGGGGAAGTTAACCTGCCCACACTTCTTTATTTTGCTATCACATGGACTACTAGAAAGTCCAAGCAGCTGCCCAGGGAGATGCTGTGCCTAGTTCCTATCTGTGAAGTTCACAGCAGGGACTGGTGGTGATAACTGTTGCAGAGGCCTGTGCTGGGGCTGTAAGGGTGGAGGAGCCCCTGTTGAAGGTACTGTGGGGGCCTTGCCAAAGGCCACGGTGGACTGTTTGCATGAGAGGGAGTGAACCAGACAATGGAGCTTTCTTCTTTCTATGGGACAGAATTCTACAAAAATTTTCCGCCAAGTTGTGGTGGACAAGTGTTGGGAGGCAGTCGAAGACTTCCTAGCAGGGCACGCATCATGGGCCAAGCCATAGAGAGGGGCTTGACCATACCAATGCTTGGTGTAGTGAATGTGCAGTTAATTGCCAGCTTGGAGGAGAAAACCAGGCAGAGCTCAGTTCTGGCGCATGGCCTGGCATCCTCTGTGCTCCAGCTGTTGCTTTTGCAGTCATAGGCCAGGGTTTTCTCTAAGGATCCCTGCAGCCAGCCATAGACCAGGAATGCAGGGGTCTGGATACAGCAGCCCAGGAGGCCCCTCCAGGCTGGCATCCCTCTGCTCCTTGGTGCTCCAGGTCCTCTGTGAGGGAAGGCGCATTCTCTCAGGATAATGCAGCCCCAGGCCATGCTGGTCTGCAGCTCAACACCACCTGCATACCGCCCTGGTGCAGCTCTGTGCTACCTCAGAGAGGGGACAAGGGAACTGCCGCCATGCTCAGAGTCAGGGCAGCACACAGGTCCCAGCGCAGACTCTCACCTGGGATATCCATGGGGACGTCCTCCTGCAGTGGCTGCCCCAGAGCTTCGTGGCACATGCAGCAAGAAAAGATGCTGCCAGCTTGGCTGTGGACTGGGGTGAAAGGGTCAGTCAGGATGAGGCTGAAGGTCCCATTTGAGTTTCTCTCAGGCCTGGAGTGGGTGGAGATCCCAAGGACCCATCCATCTCTCAGCCACACCAGAACCACCTTCCTGGTGTAGACCCCCACAACGAGCGGCACAGGAGGCAGGTCCTGGTGTTGGCCACGGCCGGTTGCCTCAGGATGTAGGTTGTCAGGGCAGCTGAAAGGAAAGTCACCGAGCCATGCGAGATGCCAGGCAGTGTGAGTGCAAGTACTCACGAGGTAGGGCTGCCACAGTGCTACTGAGGCCAAGTGGGGCCTGGCCCCCGTGTCAGCCCTGATGCTCAACTGACCCTGCTGGGGCCGTATGGGGCTGGGGGCCAGGAATGGTCAGAGGGGATAGGACAGTGGTGCCCATGAGTCTGGTAGCAGGGGGCTGTCTCTGACCCAGCCAGCAAGCCAGCACTCAATGCCCGACTGCATGCCCAACCACATACCCACATCATGAGGCTTCCCACTGCTCCTGGGACGAAGCCAAGGGCCTGCCCCTGGCCAGGGTTAGACAGAACCATGGCAATGAGACCCTGAAGTGCATCACTCGCTTGCTACTTTGGACTGCCGTGGCATGCCATGGCAATGAGACCCTGAAGTG